GTGTGGACCAATCAACTTCAAGGACAGTGCATATTATTATCTTGATCAGAGTTGCTTCTTTTTGTTTGCTTTTTTGACTACTTGTGTTGTGGTTATTGCAAACATGATGCCTTGAATAAAGGTGTCAGTTTTGTACCAGTTTAAAAGGGTGAAGACCTACTACCTCATGCCATGTCGAGGTACAACCCTGCTGCCATTGATTGCTCACGCCATCGCTGGTCGAGGGGCCTCCACTAGAGGGAGCTCTCAAGGGTGTTTGGCCTACTCTTCCACGCTGGCCCACGGACGCCTTAAATTTCGATTTAAAGCTTTCGTGACTGCAGGAATTCATCTTCTTGGTTCTTTCGGTAAAGTCACGTAGAATGGAAATTATAAAATAATAAAACTAAAACAAAATAATTATCACGACGTTTCGGCCACAACGCAAGCAGCCGTCCTCAGACAGGCCTGTTCTTCACCTGAGGACGGCTGCTTGCGTTGTGGCCGAAACGTCGTGAGAATTATTCTATGTTTTATTTTTATTATTTTATTATTTCCATTCTACGTGACACAGACGCCTTGTGAACTCGTGAGAGATTGGAGCGCTCACAACTTTACCCCGCCGCACGCTCACGCCACCTGCCGATCCGCTAACTGTGGTTGCTGCCCGTCAATGACCCAAGCACCATTTGTCTCAAGCTGCGGGCCTCTGTGGATTGCAAGCGGCAGTGTGTGCCCATGTCCTTACTCATCATCCCACGGTGGCTTCGCGAACGTTAATCTAACCAGCGCTTTAATGTACAGCTTCTGTGCAGAGCGACGGGAAATCCACCACCACCCACCCATCAACGAATAAGGGAGAGAGCAAAATTGGTAATACAAAATAATAATTATCGACTTTTCGTATATGCCTACCACCGGCGTAACGTCAATTGCCGTGCAGGTGGATACTTCCAAGCGGGTCCCATCTCCGTGTGATCCACACACCCCGATCGACTCTTCATAAGCCACTTCGTTGAGCAAGTATTGGTGACCAGGTGGCGTCTGAGAAAGACGCTCATAGCTGCTCAGTGGACTGATTTGTTTACCTTTACGATACTCTACACTCCTCTCGTGTTTTGTATAATCTGTTGTAAGTCGAACGCGTAGAAGGCTTTTGCGACCAATAGCATCCATAATATAAATATTTAAATGTGTCGTTAAACAACATTTATAATCTTCATTAGGCGACTGATGACAAACAAACACGTCAAGCCAAATCTGGCTGTCGCCTGATGAAGCTAGTTGTAATTACTGGCGAAACGTCGTACTCAGATTGTAAATGTTGTCGCCTGGCTCTCCAACACACCGATGTGCTGTACTAGTGACGAATTGGCCACGTTCTGTTTACGTGACAACCCTTACTAGTTGGCTGTGTTGGGTGGTGGTGGGTTTTACGACACATTTACGCGATCTAAGCCAAATACAACTCTTATGGATGTTGTTGTAACTTTTTGACCCGCCCCTCCTGGACATCTGTGATTCTGATTCTCTTAATAAGAGCATCATCCCAGCTCGCGCGGTTTAGACGTGTTTCCATTCTACTTCGTTTTACGCACCTTACGGCAGGGAGTGATCTTTCAATTGGTAATCCTCGTCATTAGTTGAATATGGTAATCTTCTATTCTTTGGGTCTTTCGGTAAAGTCACGTAGATAGAAAAAATAATAATAAAATCATAAAAATATGAATTCCTGCAGTCACGAATGCTTTAAGTCAATGGTAATCTTCATCATCTTTAATGTGGTAATCGTCATCAACGGTGTCCATCAGACAAAATCATTTACTCAGACCAACGCGATAAAAAAAAACTGTGCTAAACCCGTCAGCTGTGCGAGGTTCCTCGAACAAACTGCACCGGAGTAGATAATTAATGCATCGTCTGATCTTCGCCGTGGTTTCAACACGTGCGCGCCCCTTGTAGAACGTCGGCCTGTAGCTGTATTTACGCCGGAGGTATAGCGCGCCCTCTGCTGCGCTCTGGCTGAATTGAGGTTTTAAAAAATGTAATTCCCCTTGCCTGGGTAAACTTCAAACGGAGGTATTTGCGGCCACGATATTTCCGAGTTCAATACCCGAGGAAGCTCACAGCGGTTTGAGCGAATCGTCGAATGTTGATGTTGAATTTGGTAATAGTCTTGGCCAACGTTGAAATTTTCTTGGTCAGAAGTTGGTCAATACATTGGCACGTATAAATCAAGTTTTTGTGAAGAATAAATGACAAGGATATTGGCATATTGGTTTACAACTACGAAATACCACTTTTCGTATAGAAATAAGAGGTTCAGGTTAGATGGTTGGCAGTACAGCAAGCAGGTTACCGGCCTCTGACGTGTGGGCAGATTTTGAGTGTCTGCTCTATCCGAGTGCTGTGGTGTCTCTCCAGCCCTTGAAGCAACTCAAATATGAAGGGAAAAAAATGGTCAAACATCCCAAATCGCAGAGCCCTTGAGAAACTGCATTGAGCCTCATTCTCTTTCATCTCCGATTAGCACGGTTGGTCACCCACGGTGCGAAAGAAGTTCAACAACATTTCAGATTTCACCATTGGAACCTCATTTGTCAGTAGCAAAATATGATAATTGTTTTTTTACCCTTTTATCTGGCAACAAAACTGACACCTTTTTTTTACAGGGAGTCATGTTTGCATTGACCACAATACCTGCAGTAAATTTCAAGGACAGTGCCTACATTATCAGAGTTATGTTTTTTGTTTGCATTCCGACTGCAGGTATTGTGGTCAATGCAAACATGACTCCTTGTAAAAAAGAGGTTTCAGTTTTGTTGCCAGATTAAAGGGTAAAAACCCAATTATCATTTCAGATTGGATTTCAAGCGCTCCCCGCTGATTGAGGTACACCGTGAAGGCGTTACCAATCACGAAGAATAAAACCCTTCGAGACGATTGGAAATCCGGATGACCATTTTCGATAGGTTTATGCAAGAAAACCTCTTTATTGTGCGGAAAAAAACACGTTTTAAACACAATTAAAAAGAGATACAATCAGTCTCCAATCAACTGATTATTTAATAAAGGAAACACGTAAAAACAATACATATCAACTGCAAAAACTAATATTCTTGGGTCTTTCGGTAAAGTCACGTAGATAGGTTCAAAGAAAATAACAAAAAATAACAAAAAACTACGACGTTTCGATCGAAACCTCCTCTTCCTGATGATAAACGCTTGTGTTGCGATTGAAACGTCGTGGTTTGTCGTTCTTTTCTTTGAACCTATCTACGTGACTTTACCGAAAGACCCAAAAAATGTGAATTCCTGCAGTCACGAAAGCTTTAAGTGCAAAAACTAATTAAAATGACTCCCGCAAATAAATGCCCCTGCGTGTAAAACTAATTCTAATAAAGAGACACCTCTCATGTGTGAGGCTGCCACCCGCGGATACAGAGCCAATGCTATTTGTAATGCTCGTTAATGAATCACTCGCACAAGTTGTGCCACTTAGTCACCAACACGAAGAAGTGCTTCTCGCGAAGAACGTTATCTGTGTAAAATGTACAGCTCGTGGGGGTCAATTATTATGATGATCAATTTACCGACACAACCGGTAGAGACAGCTGTGGAACGCGTGGCGGACGCGAATGAATGCCTGTTCCTGCGTTACATGATGAGACCTCCTTTGCCAGTAGCAAGATATAGTAATACGTTTTAACCCTTTTATCTGGCACCAAAACTGACACCTTTATACAAGGGATCATGTTTGCATTGACCACAACACAAGCAGTCAAAATGCAAACAAAAAGAAACAACTCTGATAATGATATGTAACTGTCCTTGAAATTGATTGGTCCACACCCGAGCCGGCTTTTCTTAGAGCCTAGTCTCCACTGGTGTTGGACCAGATGACGCCAAAAGGCGTACAACTCAAATATAAAGGTGGCAGTTTTGGTGCCAGACAAAAAGGGTAAAAACCTATTACTACTACTGTCCTGCGTTAATTAACAACACACGTGGATCATGGGACCTCCTTTGCCAGTACCAAAATATGATAATAGGGGTTTTCCCTTTTTTCTGGCAACAAAACAGGTGTTGAGATGTTAAAACACCAAGCTGAAACCTTTTACAAGGAATCATGTCTGCATTCACCACAATGCTTGTGGTCAAAATGCAAACAAAAAACATACTCTGATAATAATAAATGTATTGTCCTTGAAACTGATTGGTCCACACCAGCTTTTCTTTTGAGCCTCGTCTCAAACGGTGTTAGACCAGAGGACGCCAAAAGGCGTCGACTTTATCCTCTTCCTCCTCGTCGCTCACCCCCTCCCCGAGCATCGCCCCTCCACCACTACCTGCCTACAGGTACAGACCTGGCCTGCTCGCCTGCCCAGGATAAGCACCGTATCATCTTGGGAGACAGTACATGTACTGTGATTTTTTTGTGTGTGTTTACAGCCATAAATCGGCTGCTGTATGAATGTCTCCCCACGCCGTGTCGTGCATGGAAATTCTTTGACCATACTTCACCTCGCCGGTACGTACTTGTTGGTAAATTAGGCGCCCAGGACATGTTGAACTATTACTCGCCACTGATGTTAGCCGTGACTGGGAATTTAACTTAGGGGGTCGGGTTCACCGCTTTACCCGAGTTGTCTTTAATTGCCAGTATGGTTAATTGCGTCTGTCTTCAACAAAGTCCTATATATATACCGAATGTATGTATCATTAGTCATTAAACACATTCCTGCGGAGGGAGCTGGTAGGAACGTTGGGTTGCTCGGTCAATGGCCAGGGTCAACGGCGGCGTGGTGTATTCCGCAAATATGCCCGACTGTGGGGGCGGGCACAAGCCGGCGTGAGTAGGTTAAACGTTGAGTTTTATAAGGGCACCACGGGGTGACCAGCCCCTCCCCACCCAGCCCCACCCCTCCCACCCCTCACCCAGCCCCATCCTCCCCACCCAGCCCCTCCCCACCCTCCCCACCCAGCCCCTCCCCACCCTCCCCACCCAGCCCCACCCCTCCCATTTTTGGATGCACGACGGACGGACGGACTCAATAATCCCCTGTGGGCTGGTGGAACCCGGTGGTTCCTACCAGTATTAGTCATCAATTTCATCCTTAATCAGCAGGAACATCTCGGCGTCATCAGTAGTCATGATCTATCCGCTGCTGGTGTAAGGCCTCTTCCACACCATCGCCATCTCTGACGGTGATGTGACGCGCTATTGATTGTAAGCATAATTGTTTTCCAAGTCGCAGCCTCGTAGAATAGTTCAGTTTATAGAGGCTAGAGCCGTCCCTTAAAACCACGAGCGTCTACACGAGGCAAAATCGGGCAGCTTGCGCACACAGCCAATGGCGAAGCCAGGATTTTCAGATAGGCGGGGAACCCCTCCAGTAATGAGAAATGATAGAGGAGTTGTTAGTAAGTAAGGACGCGTGTGCGGCGATGGCGCAGTCATCGATCGAGGTTCGAATTCGAACCGCGTTGTGTGATCGGCATCGCGCTCGCTGAAGGTGAATGAATGCCTTCAGGGAAGTCGTGCACTGTATACGCAACTGCACACAATTCTGAGTCACTTATAACTGATTTGTCGTTACTTATTGCCAATTATGGACTCCGACTATTGTCCTATCATCTCATAGAGTTCCTGGCACGTAATAATATGCTACACAGTGACAGTGGGGGTCGCAAAATGCCGATTTGTTACAAATAAACCCCAATGATCCGATCGAAATTAGGGATTTCGATCGGATCATTGGGGGGGCCCGTGCCAGCCCCCGCCCCCCGACTGGCTCCGCCAGTGCACACAGCTTATCGCCTATTTACATTCGAACGGCTATATAAGTAACATTGTGCTCTTGTAGTTAGTCGAGAGATGACGAGACATCATTTTCAATCCCTTCAGTGAGCAGAGCGCCGTGTCATGGAACATGTCGCTGTGGATCCACCGGTGGAGTCGTTTCAGCCCTGGATTCTCACTCAATGTTTTCGGGGTCGCTGGCAGACAATGGCTGGTTCAAGTTCATGTATTAGGTATAGCCCTGTGAGCCATTCGGCTCTTGAATCTGGTGCAACCGCAACAAACAAAAAACAAAAACATTAACAAAAAACATCTTAAAGTGACTATGTGACTGAGTGCAAACAGAAAATCCAAGAAAAGACAGCAAAAAATTCCAGAAAAAAAGCACCATACACCAACGCTGTGTGCACAAATCCCAGTGGGATGCAAGTCAAACAACCAACAACAACCACAAGACAACTTACATTAAGGTCATCAGTCTAACTCTGTACTACAACAAACAAACATGGCTAAACCAATACACTTTTCGAAATCACCAGCAGGTGACTATCGGCCCCAGCCAAACTGGACGTGGTGCGGCATGATCGGAAATATTTTTCGAGTCGGGAAAATGAATTCCTGGCATGGTCTCGTCGCCCCCAACACGAGACGGCGCTGTGCCGCGCCGGATCGCCATGCTAAAGCTGCTGCTGCTGCTTTTCCACGCTGAAGAGGTCTCCACCGCCACCACCACCACCCTTTCCCCTTCTAGTGTACGTAACCCATGGGCTCCAGCAGCAAGTAACTCTGCAACCTGGGGGGCAGCGGGAGCTGCGGGACGACTTCGGCGCAGCGTGCGTCCAGGTACGAGCGCAGGGCGCAGCGAGCCAGGTGCTGCAGGGCACGCGGTGCCCCCTGCAGCGCGAACACGGAGTCGTAGAAGGCGGCGTGTCTCTGCGGGCAGAGCGGCGACGGAGGGGAGACCGGCAGGAGGACACCGGGAACAGCGCGGGTGAGCGTACAAGTTCATGTATTAGGTATAGCCCTGTGAGCCATTCGGCTCTTGAATCGGGTGGAACCGCAACAAATTAAAAGCAAAAACATGAACAAAAAACATCTTAAAGTGACTATGTGACTGAGTGCAAACAGAAAATCCAAGAAAAGATGGCAAAATATTGCAGAAAAAACACCGTACACCAACGCTGTGTGCAAACATCCCAGTGGGATTCAAGTCAAACAACCAACAACAACCACAAGACAACTTTGATTAAGGCCATCAGTCTAACTCTGTACTACAACAAACAAACGTGGCTAAACCAATACACTTTTCGAAATCACCAAAATAAAGCCATGAAAGCAAGTACGGCTCTTTTGTCAGTGAGCTGCCAGGTGAGGGCCTCTATTCACGGAGCCCCTGAGGAGGAGGGGGGGGGGGTCCCGTGAGCCTCGTGTAATAATAACGCCCCCCCCCCTTTCCATTTCAGCGAGCGCAGATGCTTAGAGGAGAGTGTGGACGGAGATAGCGCAGTGCCCTTGCCGCGGGGATACAGGAGGCGCAGGCGGTCGTGGTTGCAGTGTGGGGAACCCTGTCTCCTGCGGTGTAGGGGTAGGCGCTTGACATCACGGAGAGATGGCGATTCATCTTCTTGGTTCTTTCGGTAAAGTCACGTAGAATGGAAATAATAAAATAATAAAATAAAACATAATAAAATAATTCTCAGACTCTGTTTCCTCGACAGACCTGTTCTCCACCTGAGGACGGCTACTTGCTTTGTGGCCAAAACGTCGTGAGAATTATTTTATTATGTTTTATTTGTATTATTTTATTATTTCCAATCTACGTGACTTTACCGAAAGAACCAAGAAGATGAATCCCTGCAGTCACGAAAGCTTTAAATCGTAAAAAAAAATATTGATTTAGCTGATGTTGATGACACAGCCTCCACTCGTGTTTACAGATTTTTTACGATCTATTTCCGTGCCGTGTAAACATGTTGTGAAGGAGGCTGCGCTCGTTCTCTGTCGATGGGACGTTTCTCAGAAGAGCGAGAAAAGCAGACGTCTTTTTAGGCGCGGACTAAATTCGGATTGGCACTCGTGCCGGGACGTGTGATTTACTGCGCGGATTCATTCACTTTGCCAATGCGACATTCTTGTGAAACGCTTGTTTTGACAGGAAGCTAAAGCTGGCAGCTTGTATGACATCCGATCCCACGTGGTTTGCTCGTCATGTGTGTGTATTGTACCTTGCATTGCAGAGTCACGTCGAGGTGAAGATGCGTGATTTTAAGAGAATCTGTGAACCGGTAGAGCCTCATACCGCGTGAGAGATCCACTAACGAGAGTCCCTTCAACACCAGACTTCCATCGTGGAGACTCAAAGTCGTAAATGAACCTCCGACCACCACGACGAGGCGAATCGAGGTCACGGTCATGGCATCGTACAATGTTACTCGCATGTGCTGTAGACCTGATTCCAAATCGACCCAGTACAGCTGCCGTCGGAACCCGGCCCGTACCCTGCAAAGCACGGTTCACGAATCGAGCCAGCATCCTTCCCCAATGGCAATGGAAACGCGGCGCATACTCACACGTTTTTTTTGGTTAGGCATCGAACAGATGCACTTCCGCGGCCATCTGGAACGTTCTTCCTTCCGCTATTAGGAAGCCACTGGAGATATGCACTTTTAAATCATCCAGATTGAAAACGAATTTATTGAGAACTGCATTTTTGTGTTAAGTTTGTCCTTTCCAAGCACCTCCGATTAGCACGGCCGGCTACGTGCGATGCAAAAGACGTTTAACATTCATAGCGTACGCACATACGCACGTCTATGGGTATCGTCTCCGCGGTAACCCCACCTGGTAGGTGTCGTCTGGGATGGCCTGCCTCCACGCGGGCGTGATCTTGATTCTGCCGTAGACGTTGAGCAGCACCTCCACGGTGTTCGCCGCCTCGGAGCACGACTCCAGCACCTGCACAGCAAGAAGCTCGTTCAGAGGTCGCCACGGCCGGTTGGGGCCTCGCGGCGCCACGGGGCACGGCCCCACAAGGCGACGCCACGGGACGACTCAAAGGGTCGCTTCAGTAGGCAACGTACGAATAGCATTTGCTTCACTCCACCGCTGGATAAAGGGCCTCCTCACGCGATGTGGGTTGGTGAGGGGTGCTGGATTGGTTCAGGTTCGTAGCGTAATGCCTGGGCCACTGGACCACAGTTGGTTATTTTATTTCCAAAAACATCATGCTGATTCATGTGGGTTGGTGAGAGGTGCTGGATTGGTTCAGGTTCGTAGCGTAATGCCTGGGCCACTGGACCACAGTTGGTTATTTTCTTTCCAAAAACATCATGCTGATTCATGTGGGTTGGTGAGGGGTGCTGGATTGGTTCAGGTTCGTAGCGTAATGCCTGGGCCACTGGGCCACAGTTGGTTATTTTCTTTCCAAAAACTGGATTGGCAGAAGTCATCAGAATTTCACCCCTGACCATCTGGGTTAGTCGCAGTAAGTGCAGTCACCGGTGACCGCGGCGAAACCATCGGCGTGCTGCACCGAGAATACGGTTTAATCGCAGGTGGGCGAAACCCAGACGTGCCGGCTGAGGGATACATCTCAAACACATCCATGATGAACCTCCCTGAGGCCACTCGGCCACCGCGTGACATGAGCGTTATACATCTCCCGGAACATTCTAGGCTTCAAGCGGTTGTGCCTCGTGAACTCTACCCAACCCCGGGGACCTGCTCCTGCTGATGCTGCTGCTCCTACTGCGAGAATGCGAGACGCTCACCCGGTGGAATGCGCCCGGCCACACCTTGACGGAGCCTCGGTTGAGGAGGTCCTGCACCACGACCTCAGGATTGTGCTCCCGTCGGTAAGCGGCCACCTGCGAAGAAGCGACGTTTTAAACCCTCAGCTGTACATGCACAGTCCGCGTTATCAGTCCTTCGCCGACCCCCCCCCTCCCCTCACGCCTTGCGGGCCGTAACAGATATTTGATGATACTTCACCACGTTTGTCAGTGCGGGTTGATGAGCTCGGGTAGCACGGAACAGCAATGGATACCGCCGCACTGCCCTCTGCTGGACACAACGCAGAGGAAACTCTCTGTGCTCTTGCAAGTATTTGTTTGTTCTAGATTTGAAGTTCTCGTGACTGCAAGGACGTCTCTCCCACTTTAGTAAAACAAATTATTGCTGTGGTGTTCACACCTGATGATGATTGCTTGTGTTGCAATCGAAACGTCGTGATTTAATTTAATTTGTACCTTTTAATTTATTTTGATTTATTATTTTCTTTACCTACGTGAATTTACCAACAGAACCAAAATTAGTTGTTAGTTCTCTCATTTACGGAGCTTCACGTCCAGGTGGTAAAATAATGTGCGCGTTGCTGCTACGCGCTTCTAGAATACCCTTGCGGCTCATCATAGTTCCCCCCCCCGCTTCATTATTTCCCGGTGAGACCAAAACACAGAGCACACTTGTCCCTGTACCTAATTATTTTATGGCGCCTCGTGCTCGGATATTTACACTTTCTTTCTTATTCGCATACCTGTCAATCCCCTACCTTATTATAGACCAATTCAGACCTTATTGGTCACCCCGTGCCCTTATACATCTCAACGTTTATCCGACAAAGTTCCATCACAAGGGAGAAACACAAAGAAATAGACAAAACCTTTATTTGCCCGTCTTGAAACGGCTGTACGCCGTATGGACCTCAACTCAATTTGCCTGCACAAGAATACGGGCAAGCCGTATTCGTGTTTCGTTTACGACCGTCAAAGACATCGTTTGCTATGAAATATTCATCAAGGACCATGTACTCGTTATCTGCGATAGTGATGTTTTTGTATTTTATTTTGCTGCTTTTGCGCTCACGCACCACGGATCTCCCTTGTAAAATAGCCGGGCAATTGGCCAAGCGGGATCACTCGTGTTACAAATCATATAAACTTAACTCAAAACGAGTGAAGTAAGGTTTTTTTAGGCTGCAACGTATATTAATAGGCAGCTAATGACGCTGTTTCTGAGAATGACAGGAGAGCCCTTGTACGCGTGGACCCCGGATTCTGTCCCAGCTGGCACGGCGGGGCTCGGATTTCAGGAGACGCCGTGGAAGTTTAGCGACGCGCTGTGTTTTCATCGCCTATGCCCTGCCAAACCCTGCCATCAATAGCGTCTTTGCTTAAGAGGCTTAAAACATGCGGACGTCTGGAGATCGTGTTTAATCCCCGCGGTGTTGTTATTTCTGCACAAATATGGATCTCCTGCCGCTCGTAATTGCGCCGCATGTGACTCAAGACACCGCCTCCAGTGTCGAGCTTGTCAACAGTGTTCGCCTTCACCGCACCGATGTTGTTTTCGACTGATTTGGCTTCCGTGAAGCGAAGGACGCCACACGAGGGAGTGGTATGGCCACCACTTGGCCGGGCCGCCTATTCCACTGCACCAGGTACTTATTTAAGTTCTAGATTTGAAGCTTTCGTGACTGCAAGGATTCATACTCTTAGGTTTTTTCGGTAAAGTCACATAGGTAAAAAACGGCATCTCTTGAGGAAGGCCAGCGTCTCGAGAAGCTGTGACTTCTTGTCTCGTTGTCTGTTAAAAACTCTAACAGATAGGTGAAATTCATCCCCGTAGAGGGTATTAATTCTAGATTTGAAGCTTTCGTGGCTGCAATGATTCATACTCTTACGTTTTGTCGGTAAAGTCACGTAGGGAGGAATTTCACCTATCTGTTAGAGTTTTTAACAGACAACGAGACAAGAAGTCACAGCTTCTCGAGACGCTGGCCTTCCTCAAGAGATGCCGTTTTTTACCAACGTGACTTTACCGACAAAACCTAAGAGTACTTATTTAAGGTTCAGTCGACACGGTTGGAGGCCCAGGACGGTTGCAGATATCACTCGCTACTAACTCTAGCCGTGAGCGGGCATCGAACTCCGACAGATGGGTTCGTAGCGCAGTGCGTAAAACACTGCGCCACCTCCCCTACAAACTCGTGCCCCGTTACGTATTCCGAACGCTCTCCCGCGCACACCCACAGGGGGCGCTCCTCTCCGTGTCCTCACCTGAAGCACCTTCTGCAGGGGCGCCACGCCGTTGTAGTCGAGCGCGTTGACGCGCGCGCCGCACTCCACGAGCACGCGCGCGAGCGCAGCGTGCGCGCCCCGGCACGCGCCGTGCAGCGGCGTCAGCAAGTCCGGGTCGCGCGCGTCGACGCGCGCGCCCGCCGCCACGAGCGCGCGCGCCATCTCGGCGAGCACGCGCGCGCCGGGGTCTCCCGGGACCCCCGGGTGCATGCACACGAGCATGAGCGGCGTGAGGCCGCGCGCGTTCACGTCGTCCGGGTGCGCGCCCCGCGCCAGGTAGAGGCGCGCGTGTTCGAGCAGCGCGTGGCGCGCGGCCACGTGCAGTGGGGTGTCTCCCTCCTCGTCGTCCTCCGACTGCGCGTTCACGTCGGCGGAGAATTCCAACAGCAGCCGCGCGCATCTGTGCGGAGTTTGGGGGTGTTGGAGATGGAGGGGGGGGGGAGGAATAATGGAATGCGTGTGGTGGTGGTGGTGGTGACGTTGACCGAGTGGTTAAACGATGAGGAGACAAACACGTGTTTTCGGTTAACTGATTAAGATTACTGGGAAATGTATGCGCTCACATGTACAAGACACACGCATATAAACGCAACTGCCATACCCACGCCCTCATGCCGCCCGTTACCAATGAACGCGTCGCAGAGTCTCGACTGTTTTTGTTCGGGAGAATCCTTCATTTCGAGGTTTGGCCAATTCGATGTTATAAGGCGAGTGACGGGTCACGAAGTGATGAGGACCGGATGAGTGCGCTCCCAGCTCCCCCCCCCCCCCACGGCCCTCCTCCGCGATGCACGTACGCGAGTGACCCTGGCGACGTGCAGTGGTGCAGCGGCGTGAGTCCGCGCTCGGAGCACGCGCTCGGGTTGGCCCCGAACTCGAGCAGGAGCCGCGCGCACGCGTCCTGCGCCGTCTCGCACGCGGCGTGCAAGGCCGCGTCTCCTCCCGGGTTCGCGTCCGGGTTCGCGCCCCTCTGCAGCAGGTGCTCCAGGCAGTCGGTGTAACCGCGGCTGGCGGCGATGCGCGCCGGGGTGGTGAGCACAAGCTGCGAGGGGCACGGCCACATCCCTGCACGCGACGCGGTGGGCGGGCGCGGAAAGGTTCGGGTCGGGTACGGCCACAATTTGATTTCGAGTCTCGTGTATTTGTTTTTTATCCAGGTGAGAACTCAAGTGACCAGGATACTCTCATTTGCATGAGTGACCTGGGTGACAAATAACAAAGGCAAAAAAAAATGGTTAAATCAATTTGGCGTCTAAATACAAGACGCTGCACAAAAATAGTGACGCGCGTGCCTCGCCATGTAAACGGTAAGAGGAGTCGAGGGATAGTCGGAGGCAAAAGACGAGAGAAAGTTATTGAGTCTGGACTTCAACGAGGGCATGGAGTCTAAAGCACGGATGGTGTGGTGATGGTGGTGGTGTGTGAGCCGAGCGTGGTGGCCAACCATCGCTTTGGAAGCTAAGGTTGGTGGACCACGTAGAGATATCTGAAATTCGCTCCCAATTCCGTTGGCCTGCGAAGAAACAAAGCGATAGCTGTAGAGCAAGTAGGTTCGTGAACCAGTTTCATTAGCTTAATGTTATCCCCTCGTATTCGTGGTTTATGCCACACGAATAACACTCCTTGAATGGATTTTGTCAAATACGAACTAGACGGGCAATAAAAACTAAACAAAAAATAGTGATCCCAAATTCATGCAAATCTGATTAATAATTGCAGGTTTAAAACCAATCCCACCCCCCCCAACGGGTTATGGATGCTCTCAATTCGATTAAAATACATAATCACGTGGCCTCGTTTTACAGATCGGTTGGTATACAATCTTGATTTTAAACTTTCGTGACTGCAGGAATCCATACTTTTTGGTTCTTTCGGTAAAGTCACGTAGGTATAAAATAAAAAAAATCACGACGTTTCGGGCGCAACACAAGCGTCCGTCATCTGATGACGGACGCTGGTATACAGTCGCTTTTTTACTGCCATTTCATAGGTTTCCGACTAATTAACATATTATTTACGTATACTTTACATTCATATTATACCATTTACTCCCGGTTCGACGTCTGTTTTAGAATTAGTTTCGAATCGATGCAACTACGCATCCCCACGCTCGTGGATCACCCTGGTAATGAAGCCAGGGTTCATCCTGTGCATTCCGCAGCCCGTGCGTTGCCTCCTCCGCCACGCGTGTGCAACCTCCACTCCCGCGGGCCGGAACACGACCCACCATACGTGGGGAGGGGGGGGGGGGGGGTCTGACCGGGCCGCGTTGCACAAAAAGCTTCAGCGAACAACTCGGCCACGTCGGCTTTTGGGGCAGCTTCCAAGAGATTCCCGAATAGAACTCGCGTTATAAGCGCTCCCGTGCGGCGCGCGTGCCTCTTGTCTCTGTGTGATGCAATGGGGGGGGGGGGGGGGGGGGGGGCGTTTACACGAGGCTCGCGGACCCGTGGTGACCTGCGGGTCGCCGGGACACTGCACGATCACGTTGGCAGCCAGGGGCTCCCTGAAGATTCGGCGAACGAGGGCCAAATCCCCGGCGAACAGCGCGTGATGAACGACGACGTCGCGGCACACCAGCCGCTCCTCTTGCGAGGCGCGCCACGGAGTCCTGGCCGTCTCCGTCGCCGCCTGCTGCCTTTGCTTGTTTTGCTGCTGTTGCTGCTTCTGCTGCTGTTGCTGCTGTTGCTGCTGTTGCCGAACCCGGCTGCTAACGGAGGGGACGCGCCGCTGCCTCAGAGCCCAGCGCTGCTCCTCTAGCTCCTGCGACCTGAAGGCCCGGAGCGCGGATGATGTGAAGGGAAAGGAAGGACCGCTCGCCATGACCCTCCGGGAAGCCGTTCCAGGGATTGTTTCTCGTCTTCCTCACCGCCCTCCCTCTGCTCTCGTCCTCGGCGCTCGCTCCAGTAGCCCGGGCTGCGATGAATTCTGCCTTCACTTTGTGACGTCTATTTATAAATCCTCTTTTAAAAAAAGAAAAAACACCCCGCAGCGTTCGTGATCGACACCGACTTTTTAGTAGGGCACTAGATAGCGATCGAACGTTTCGGACGAAGACCCTTCTGCGAAGTTGACATTTGAACGGCTTTTTTTACCTGATATATGAGCAGTTCTTTGTCAGTTAACATATACACGTATTCCAGAAAAGATAAAAAAAAAACACATCGATTAACGAAGTCGGTTTAAGTTCTATTTCATGATTTCAGATATCATCCTTGCTCTGTTCTTCCTGTTGTCCACATCGCTTCTTCGGGACCGGCTTCTCCTGCTGCTGCTGCCGCCGAGTTACTGTGGTGCCACGGTCCCCGTCACTGTTATTTTAATCGCCGTGCCGAGGCTGCGCTCTTGGCAGCGGCTAGTTTTGATCCCTCCCGTTGGGTGACGGCGGGAGAAGGGGAGTGGGGTGGCTGTTCCTCCCCGCCTCGTCCCCTTGCCAGAGGGGTCCCGCGTCCGGGGTAAATTTAGAAGCTCTCTCGAGTCAGCTGATGTAAGCTCGCCACTCGTGCACTCTCTCCAAAACGAGACGATAACTCCCCTCCATTGCGGGCACTCTCGGCCACGCGAACGACCCCCGTCTCTACTCCTCTCAACGGAGCCGCTCGATTTTAAGAACGGAAGGATGCGTCGATACGTCGATCTGAATGGACCATTACGCTCACGATAGCGAGTGAATCCGCTCAAGTGCAGAGGTGCTCGGTGGATCATTGCATAGCGGGATCGTAAGGGATGGCGACGGCCTTCATCCAGCAGTGGACCGACGAAGGCTGATGATGATGATGATTAAGTAGCGATTGGCCAACGCTTACCAATACAAGAACTTCTTATAACGCGTCTCGAGACTGAGGTCTTCCTGGGATAAATGATGGCACGCCAAATTGATACATTTCGTTGACGTTGACCGTGTGAAGTGGTTGCCGTGCCGCGCTTGTATTTTAGGAGGTGTCGGTGCAAAGTGACAAGCAGAGACGAGTGCTGGGGTAGAGGTCGCGAACCCCTCTCCGCTAGCGGCGTGCGACCTCCACCCCCGCCGGCCAGACACGAACCCGTGAGCCCCACGGCCGGGTACACGGACGCTCCGAGACACACTCGGGGACACGCTCCGAGACACACTCGGGGAGGAGACTTTGCTCGGCGGCCTCCGCTCAACCGACTACCGCGACGTCGCGTTTCGTGAACGTCGCCCGGCCATTGAGAATCGGGCCAAGCGGCCTCCCGAGTAAATACAGCGCTGTGCCGCATGGCACAGACGGCACGTCCAAACGCACAGTCGAGTTGTCGTTGACAGACTTGGTGGTTATTGTGCTGCTGCGTGTACACACTCCTGGAGGTTTCGGTGCAGTCAAAGTCATCGCGGAGTCGAATGCGGAGCCAGGCCGGCCGGAGTCCGCAGCCGGAATCAGAATATTGATTTTATATCTTGATTTGAAGCTTTCGTGACTGCAGGAATGTATAGTCTTTGGTTCTTTCGGTAAAGTCGCGTAGGTATTTTATTTTATACCTACGTGACTTTACCGAAATAACCAAAGAGTATTTATACTGGTAGGAACCTCTGGTTACACCAGCCCACAGAGGATTATTGTGTCCGTCCGTCGTGCAGGGAGGGGCTGGGTGGGGTGGGTGGGGAGGGGAGGGGCTGGGTGGGGAGGGGCTCGTGGGGAGGGTGGGGCTGGGTGGGGGGTGGGAGGGAGGGGTGGGGCTGGGTGGGGAGGGGCTGGTCACCCCGTGGTGCCCTTATAAAACTCAACGTTTAACCTACTCACGCCGGCTTGTGCCCACCCTCACAGTCGGGCATATTTGCGGAATACACCACGCCGCCGTTGACCCTGGCCATTGACCGAGCAACCCAACGTTCCTACCAGCTCCCTCCGCAGGAATGTGTTTATATACTGCAGGATTCCGATGAGAAATTAAGCTCTTTTTCACAAATGTCGGACACGTTACAACAGCAACCAATACAACATACACGATAGGAGGGCAAACTTATAGGAAAGGTAACAAATCACTTTGCAAAAATATTTAAAATAAAACTAAACTAGTTTTCACACATCTCCCTCCAAGCCCTCCACGAGTCGCAGCACAATGCCGAAGAGCCCCCGTGGTCGCCGTGAACGATCAACGTCGGTCTCTGCGCTGATATTCCCCACTTCTATAACCGGTACGAGTCTACTAATGACTTTAAAGTTTCTGTTGGTTTCTCAACAAGTGGTGCAGTTCATGTTCTCGATCCCAGAGGGACAATGAAGAGATGGGTCGAGTCGACTGACTGGTCAGTGAACTCGGCGAACACCACGTCCACGATTCCGCTGCTCTGTACGGAATGATAGATGACATCACAGTCATGTTCTTGATTCTTTCGGTAAAGTCACGTAGAAAGGAAACAATAAAATAATAAAAATATAAAACAATACAATTCTCACGACGTTTCGACTGCAACACAAGCAATCGTCATCAGGTGTGAAAACCACAGCAAGAAAATTTGAAAAAATTGGCGGTTTTCAAATTTTGGTCAGGGTTGTGTCAAGGCCAGGCTAGACGACTTGGGAGAAGCGAGGGCAAACCTGTGAACCTGAAGTGTTGAATAAAGAAGGAGCCTCCTCAAGAACCTTGTCTCCCACTCCGCTGACACGACACAGGCAGTAACTCAGATTGTAAATGTTGTGGCTTTACTCTCCAACACACCGGTCGGTGCTGTACCGGTAACGAATTGGCACGTTCTGTTGACGTGACAAACCTTACTGATTAGCGGTGTCTGGTGGTGGCGGGTTTAACGACACATTTACGCCAACCCAAAAACACCTCTATGGATAATATTGTTCACGAAAGCCTACATTTTAATTTTAGTATTAGCATGAACATTTCATATTCGCATGTACCGTATCATCTTTTATCAGACCCACGTCCACATAGATCACTTCGCCTGTGTATTTCTTATTTTGCATCGCATTCATGTTCGCGATTTATTAACGATATTGAATTGTATTTTTTTGTATCTGTTATATTACTTTAAACCTACTTTAACATCTTCTAACACAGGGGTCGAGAACCTTTTTGACTGGGAGAGCCATAAAAGCCAAATATTTCTAAATTTATTTCATTGAGAGCCATATAGTATTTTTAACGTATAATAAATTAAATATGTCTTACTTTTAATGCGACTTCTGGTGCTGCATGGTTTTGCTGATGGCCTTGTAGTCTGGTTCATACGTGGTGAGGTTGAGCTTCATGCAGGCGTGACCCGTGAAATTTATCTTCAAAACTAATTTCTGTTTACTTTAAAATGACACAGTATTATTAAGCAATATCACAAGTATTTTAAAATCAGTTCCAAACTGATTTTTTTTTTTTCAACTCAAAATTGTCTGGGAGCCATATGCCGTCACTGGAAGAGCCATATATGGCTCGCGAGCCATAGGTTCCCGACCGCTGTTCTAACATATTTATATATTTACGCGATCTAACCCAAAAAAGACCTGTATGATACACAGATGGACACTTCAGCAGACGCGGTGTAACCGCGGTGCCCGAGCGGTGTTAGCCAACTATTGTTGTTTTTTATGATTACGAGCAGCTTGCTCATCCTTTTGATGCGACTGTCACACCAGCCAGCCAGCAAAACTTTTGTCGAATATAGTACGAGTGGTTATGCTTGATTACCCAGGAAAGCCTCACTGAGTAGTAGGACTAGTTTTCACTCGGGTCCTGCCAAAGGTAGTTGGATTGTTGACAAGTTGCGCTGCGATGACATACAGGACTGCGTACTATACCAAGAACAATAATTTGATTAGGTGACAAAGCATTTGCCGTTGCAGCGCCAACATTTTGGAACAACTTTTTTCCCCCTCCCTTAACATTGTAAATCCTTCGAAAAACATCCTGAAGCAGAAGGTTAGTGCTGGATACAACCGAATTTGCGAATGTGACGAGTAATTTTCATTCTTACCCATTTATCAAGTTCAATTTTAATGTGCAATTTTATTGAGGGATTGTTGTCCTTGTGTGGTCGAAGACTGCTTTTTCTGTTGTTTTGCAGTTGCCCAAGCTTGAGAATTGCTGTACTTATGCAATTTGAACTTATATACTTCAATTATTTTTAGTGATTTGCTTACCTTTCCTATATTTTTTCCATGTTTTTTGTAACTTTCTGACCTACTGGACATGTGGAAGAAAAAGAGCTTCATAGCTCATCGCACTTCTAATTAGCACAGTTGACCGTGTACGGTGCAAAAGAGGTTCAACATAAATCATATTTCTCCAAGATAAAGATTCTGATTCTGACATAAACATCAAACACTGACCTCAATATCATGGGTCGAACGATTACCACCCACCCACCTGAGTACAGCATTGGGAATGTTAACACGTCCGAGGCTTTCCCAGCCCGCTTGTAGTTTCATGGCAAACATTCAGTTGACAGAACGTTTTCTCCCTTCCGAAGGCTCAGTTCTGGCCAACACTGGCTCGTTCCATCAAATACATGCTGCTGTGGATTGGTCTATAAGACGAAGTGTGCTGGATTCTCAGCCAAGTAACCCACATGCATCCCAGAGGAAAAGGCAAGGCATAGTGTTGCATTGAACTTGGTTGTATTGTACCATCGCTTATGTGCCTGATGCACCCGTTTACAAACTAGTTGGCGTTGAGATGTTAAATTACTATGTTTTGAACAAATACGCACTTTTATACCAATTCCTAACAGTGCATCTTGACGTGTCATACTTACAGAACATAAGTGCACCCATTCAACTCACGCTAATAATATAAGCCAGAGAAAAGCACATTTTTTAGAGTAATGTTTAATTATGCTCCATGAAGAGAAAAATCACATTTTGCATTATTTAAGAGTACAGAGTACGATAAATAAACTTCATCAGGAACACAAATATTTAAACTCCCCCCAATACCCATCAACATCAAAAACAACTTTATACAGTAAGAGCCACCAAAAGATAATAATCATAATTAGTGACATAAAAACTAGTCCAGTACAATATCAATGTGCATACCCAGTACAGTATTAAAAAACAATAATCTTCATAACTTTTGCGAAGCGAATAATGGAATACTTGACCATATTGTGTCATCTTCTTGACTTTACCGAAAGAACCAAGAAGATGAATCCCTGCAGTCACGAAAGCTTTAAATCAAAATATATTGTGTCATTTTGGAAATTAAGGGCAATTACGTCCAAAAATCGCCCATCAAAGGCCACGTGCCTGTGTGTGAGAGTTTAGTGTAAGCAACAGTTGCAGCCAATCTGTTAGAACTCTGAACTTTTGAGTGAAAATTGATTTATAGTCACCATGTTTCTTGAAAAAAGTAATCTCTGCAACTGGAGCAGCCCTCGGGGCAGGCCCCCCTGTGTGGCATTAAAAGAAGGTGACGCCCCCGCTGGAGCCTCCCTCCAACCAGTCGCTCTTCCTCTGTCCCATCACCACGGTCTGGCCCTGCATGGACGCCATCTGAGCAGCATTGGGAGCGTAGCCAGGGGGAGGGGGCTGAACAATGAAGAGACACGGGCACTGGTTAGATTTGCTAAATAAAGTCACATGCGCAACAACAAAAAAACAAGTAGCTGAGTTGGTGGGAAACTACAACTTTAAAGTGTCTTGCAGGAGGGCTAGTAGCGTAGCATTAAGATGTACAGGGCTAGAGTGCGCTTGCCCGTAATGCGAACTCCATTTGTCATCACTCGTTAAGCGTGGGACATCTTTGTGCACCACACAACATAGGTATGCATCTACGCGGTAATAGCGGTCTGTTTTAGTTTGGATTCTTTCTCTGAACATGTAACCAAGACCATTGCTAAGGTATACGCAACAGCTGAGGAGATGCATTTACTTGATGTCAAGAGTGCCACTGATAGTATAATGCGATATAGCAGATGGTTTCTTATTTTAATTTCTTATAAAAGTGATTATTTGTTTATATTTCTAACCAAGTGTGCTATCAAATGACTGATAATAATAGTGTCAACACTATAATTGACCAACGACACCAAATTTTGTCATGATCAAGATTGCAAAATACATCTCTTACTATACCATTCTTTCCCTGCCTGTTCTCTTTCTACTCTGAAAAAAGGCTGTTGCCTGGATCCTTTCTTTGTATTTCCTGTTTATATATTAGGTAGAGTTTGTAATAATAGTACCAAAGGGAAAAGCTATGATTGCAGCTGGTCCTTACCGGAACATTGGGTATGGACCCATTGCCAAACCGGGCTCCCGCATCAAACCCATTGGGCACGAAGACAGTTCTGTTGCCATTCGCTGCAGCGGGTACCGGCTGGTATTGGTAAGCAGCATGTGGGGCAGCGGCATAAGGTGAATACATCGGAGGGGGGGCACCGGAACCGGCGGGATGATTCTCGTAACCCATGGGGGAAGCTTGTGGTGGGGCAGCCTGTGACAAACAGACAGTTGCACATTAGGTCCAGTAGATATGGGTTTCATGAAAGAATGATACACAATGAAATCTGGTGTTTGCGTTTTTCAAAATAAAGCAAATGCACGTGAAATTATTTGTAAGTGGTGTTCACTTTTCGATTTAAAGCTTTCGCGACTGCAGGGATTCATCTTCTTGGTTCTTTCGGTAATGTCACGTAGAAGGGAAATAATAAAATAATAAAAATAAAATAATAAAATATAAAAAAATTCTCACGACGTTTCGGCCACAACGCAAGGACGGCTGCTTGCGTTGTGGCCGAAACGTCGTAAGAATTATTTTATTTTTATTATTTTATTATTTCCCTTCTACGTGACTTTACCGAAAAAACCACGAAAATGGTGTTCACTTGTTAATTAAATCGATTTGACATTCAAGATGTCTCTTTATCATGTTACAGTCTAAGACCACACCTCTTTTTTGAAAACGTTTAGGATAATACATGGACCAGGAGGCTAAATGTACAATGGTGCCAAAGATATCAATTTAGTGTTGTGGTAGTGGAGGAGAGGCGATTCCCTCAAACCAACGGACATGACGAATGTCCCTTCAGTATGTTTTATCTTTGTATCTGTACGCTAACACAAACACTACACATACTGTACATCGTATCGTACGGTCATCCCTCGTTATACGGCAACTAATACGGAATTTCACTATGTAATTTATAAATTGGGGAACGATTTAGATATAAATTTTGATTTTAAGTTTATGTGACTGCAGGGATTCATATTCTTGGTTATTTCGGTAAAGTCACGTAGAAGGGAAATAATAAAATAATATAAAACAAGACAAATTCTCGCGACGTTTCGACTGCAACACAAGCAATCGTCATCAGGTGTGAAAAACCGCCACTTTTTAAAAAAATTCTTGCTGTGGATTTCACACATGATGATGATTGCTTGTGTTGCAGTCGAAACGTCGTGAGAATATTTATTGTTTAATATTAATATTATTTTATTATTTCCCTTCTACGTGACTTTACCGAAAGAACCAAGAATATGATTTCGATATAAGTTAGGTTAAATTTGCATTCACGGAATGTTGAATCTCCAAATTATTATTTGGGGGGGGGGGGGGGAAATCGAACTATGCACCATTTGTCTTGTCCTCGTGTACATTTCTTGCATCTCCAAGTCGTTCTTGAAGTCGTTTTTGCATGTGTTTTTCACACTGTAGTGGTTTCTTGCACTCATAATGCCACCCAAACTTAGCTTGTTCTGCTACTGTGCAGTATTTTTTATTTGTGGCTTCTTGAGTATTATTCGTATTATGATAAAATTTACAATTTTTTTCAATTAAATGTGTCCTTTATAAAGGTTTTCCATTGGAACGCATCTAAAATTACATACTGAACGAAAATGGGAAAATAGGGTTCAAGAAACAGAATTTGGCTTTCGTGGCAACCTTTCAGGAACCCGTCTGTTGTGAATATTTACGGATGCCTATACATGTGTATATATATGTTCAACTCCTTTCGCACCGTACCTAGCCAACCGTGCTAAATCGGAGGTGCTAATATATGCAATGAACATACATGCGTGTACTGCTGTTGTGTGTGTGGCAGGTGGCAGGTGGGCGTGTTTGCTTACTGCGCTCACGCTGGAGTACGAGGGTGGCGGGTAGTACAGTCCCGGGGGTCCAGCGTTACCAGCGTACGCCATCGGTGGGGGCACCTGCTGCTGAGCAGGGCAGGCAGAGGCTGCCTGCACAGGGTAAGGACTGGCCGCCTGGGTTGGGTATGCAGGCCCTGCACAGGGAAAATGCAAAGGACTTTTATCGTCAGCTATCAAATGCTTAGGCAAATTGTTGCATCGCAGGGCCACGAGAGGTCACGATGGCTTGGAAGGTTTGTACACGAAGCCATACAAATATACAAACACAGACATAATTTCAACCGTGATGATGGGTACAAACTTAGTAATCATTGGAAAGATGTTATCAACCACGCAAAAAAGACTTAATTACACTTTTTTGGACCATCTTATCTGACAGGCACTATTTTACTTTACTTTACCGAGTGTTAACATTCACAGTAATTTTTTAACAGTACTCTCTTCATTGTTCAGCCAGCATTGGTATAAACATGGGCATTTTCGTTCTTTTGTCTTTCATGTGTATCAGGCCTCCCCTCCCCCTCTCTGCCTAATGTGTTGAGCACTCCGTGCTGTCTTTGAGCCCCGCCCCCCTCCCTCCCGATACGTTTCCATTCATTGGCTACCACATTCTGATGAGCCCCCCCTCTCCTCCCCCCTTCAACTTGCTTATAAGGGATTACATCTTGAATCATTGCCTCACTTGATGCAGCTAATTCGGCTGTGACGGTCCCACCTGATGACGGAGACTTGTGTTGCCTCCGAAACGTCGTGATTTTTGTTTTATTTATTTTATTTTCATTAATTTTGATGTTTTACCTACGTGACTTTACCGAAAAAACCTAAGAATATAATGCACCAGATTATCAGAATGACAAGTGCTCACGCCACAAACACATTCCAGATATCTAATATCATTAATTGGGGAAAATTATCAAAAACAACAATACTCAATTTCATCATGATGAGAATCTGGCCCAACGCTGTAAATGCCTGCTTGGATGAGCACCTTCTCCAACCCAGCCACCGAGCTGGGTTGTACATCAGTCATGGTGCAATTTCCATGTGCACAAGGTGCCCTCACTGTGAATGTCAATACTTGTCCGCGTGGACGTGTAATGCAGATCTATTGTAGATGGAATTTCACAAATATGCTTCCTTGGATGCTTTGCGTGCCACAGGATTTCACCGCGTCACCACAAGTGGCATTTGACTCGAGGCATTTGACAGACTGAGGCTAAACAAACCACACGCTGGGGGGGGGGAATAAACATCTGTGATAAAGAGTTTCATAGCTCATCAGATTCCTGCAGTCTAAATATTAATATATCTTAAGCAACAGCGCCATGTGAGTTGCATAGACAATGATCAAGGCCAGTCAAGTCAGCAGAAATACAGGTACGTAATATACAATGTGCCAACGTTTGTTCCAGCTGCGTAAATCCGGTCACGATGGCGAGATTCCAGATAAGGTCAACGCCAGTTAGCGCACGCACGAGGGGCTTTCAAAATACAATACAACATATTTTTGCCGTTTTCGGGCAACAAATAAATAGATAAAAACATGCTAGACAATAAAACACTGGACAACATGGACTTCAGTTTAACACGTAGGCTTTCGCGACCAATATTATTCATAATCAACGTTTTTGGACTTGCCTACACGTAAAAAAAGTCACAACCTAAGATGTCACACTCCGCAGTCTTGAATTATCAAAAAGTTTGTACTAACCAGGGTAGATGGCAATATCCCAAACGGGAATGATCGTAAAAACAGTCTCGCACGTGCAACGCGATACTGCTCCAAGAAATAAAAGCAGAAGAGTCACTAGACTGCAGCCATGATCGAAACAAGGATTACCAAGATGACCATAATAGCGACAGAGAAACAAAAAGAAACAACTCTGATAATGATATACACTGTCCTTGAAGTTGATTGGTACACACCCGAGACAGCTTTTCTTAGAGCCTAGTCTCCATTGGTGCATTTTGACTGCTTGTGTTGTGGTTATTGTATAAAGGTGTCAGTTTTTGTACCAGTTGAAAGGGTAAAAACCTATTACTATTGCTTCAGGACCGTTTACAACTCGAGGGTGTATGTTTTCAGCGGATGCAACTCATCATTCACGTGCGGATGAGTGACATTCTTTGAAACCACGTGGTATTGCTTAAACTTTGGGATTACGTAACATTGTTCCTCGATGTGTTTATAACCCGCAAATTTGCGCAACGTTGTGGGTTCATATCCTGGTCCAGAATACATGGTATCATTCAGTTCTGGTATACACGAGGTATAGTATATATTAACCTACATCCCACGTGAGTATAATTAGTATTATCCATACGTTTTTGTTATATTGCGTAAATATGTGTCGTTAAAACCACCACCACCCGACACAGCCAATTAGTAAGGTTTGTCACGTCAACAAAAGATGCCAATTCGTCACTAGTACAGTGTTGGAGAGTAAACCCAATCGAATTGTAAATGTGGGTTTGTCTACAATTAGTAGCTAAACATAATTGGCTGTGTCGGGTGATGGCAGTTTTAACGACACATTTACGCCAACCCAAAAAAAACGCTATGGATAATATTGGTCACGAAAGCCTACGTGTTTATATTTAGTATTAGCATGGGAATGTCATATTCGCATGTACTGTATCATCTTTTATCAGACCCACGTCCACGTAGATCAATGCGCCTGTGTATTTATTATAGCACATCACATACATGTTCTCTATTTATGATAGTTATTGAATTGTATTTTATTTATATTACTTTAAACACTAACATCTTCGGGGTGACTCAATCATTCGCGGGAGTTAAATAATGGTAAGATTTTATTTCGCTTTAAAGGAAACAGTTACACTATTTCCAGGAAATAAATTATGGAATTGGATCACGTGCTTATCAAGGCTGCCACACCAATCTGATAAACTCCAGGCATCCATCCACCTGGCACATTCGCACGCATGATACAAGGACAACCTCTTGAGGTTTTCAAAAGGTTCACTAGGGTATACATTTACACGCTATCCAATGTATACTCACCGCTCGCAGCGATTACAGGATAATATACACGGCATCTATATATGTGTGTCTCTTCCAAGGTGTCTATCTCCGCCAGCTCGTGGCGTGAGAAAGCGATTGGGTCTGCACCTTGGCCTTATATTCTTGTGCATTATGGCAGCAGCGGCAGCAGCAATGTGTTCAGGAGCTTCATGCCAATGTCGAAGTCTGCTGCGAGCCACGAGAGGGCTTCAGGAGAGAGAGTGAGAGTTCGTGTAGTTTTGCTTCTCCTACAATGGTTCACTATAATATTGTCCCCCCTAGTTTGGGTTGCGTGGCCACAATCGCACCGCTGTGGCGCTGTATTTATTATTTACACTCTTTTATTTAACTCACTCCGTCTATTGTATCCTCAACTCGGTCTGTTGTCGTATCCTCAAATCTTGTAACTCAATTTTAACACACTTCCCAAAGTGGTATCGACTGCAAACTTGGTATCGTTATGTCATATTTATGACAATACCATATTATATCATTAAAATTAATATATATTTTTAAGCAATCGTTTTTATATCTTACGTTTCGGCTTGGGTCTAATTGTCCAGGCTCAACTAACGTTGGCTGTAAATCACCACAGTCCCTGACGTTATGGCAAGCTTCGGGCCCACTTCCTAGAGTCGTGGAGTTCTGCCATTACTAGTATGGTACATTTCATGAAAGCGTGTTTTAAAAAAGTATTTTTAAATATTACTTATTAAGTTTACATTCACGAAGGAGATGTGCGCATCATGCCTGGCGATGTTCAGACGCGATGGTTAGTTTACACCGGTGGACAACCAAATTTTCCATCCGTATAACAAACGCGCATGAAAACCCACTAATAGCAGATATGAACGTGCTTATTACCGGCTACACAACTATGTGCCATGACAAAATCATTGAGTAAGGTTTGTGGAACATGTGCCATGACAAAATCATTTAGTAGGGTTTGTGGAACATGTGCCATGACAAAATCATTGAGTAAGGTTTGTGGAACATGTGCCATGACAAAATCATTTAGTAGGGTTTGTGGAACATGTGCCATGACAAAATCATTTAGTAGGGTTTGTGGAACATGTGCCATGACACAATCATTGAGTAAGGTTTGTGGACCATGTGCCATGACAAAATCATTTAGTAGGGTTTGTGGAACATGTTACATGACAAAATCATTGAGTAAGGTTTGTGGAACATGTGCCATGACAAAATCATTTAGTAGGGTTTGTGGAACATGTTACATGACAAAATCATTGAGTAAGGTTTGTGGAACATGTGCCATGACAAAATCATTTAGTAGGGTTTGTGGAACATGTGCCATGACAAAATCATTGAGTAAGGTTTGTGGACCATGTGCCATGACAAAATCATTTAGTAGGGTTTGTGGAACATGTTACATGACAAAATCATTGAGTAAGGTTTGTGGAACATGTGCCATGACAAAATCATTTAGTAGGGTTTGTGGAACATGTTCCATGACAAAATCATTTAGTAGGGTTTGTGGAACATGTGCCATGACAAAATCATTGAGTAAGGTTTGTGGAACATGTGCCATGACAAAATCATTTAGTAGGGTTTGTGGAACATGTTACATGACAAAATCATTGAGTAAGGTTTGTGGAACATGTGCCATGACAAAATCATTTAGTAGGGTTTGTGGAACATGTTCCATGACAAAATCATTGAGTAAGGTTTGTGGAACATGTTCCATGACAAAATCATTGAGTAAGGTTTGTGGAACACATGACAAAATCATTGAGTAAGGTTTGTGGAACATGTTCCATGACAAAATCATTGAGTAAGGTTTGTGGAACATGTTCCATGACAAAATCATTGAGTAAGGTTTGTGGAACCCATGACAAAATCATTGAGTAAGGTTTGTGGAACATGTTCCATGACAAAATCATTGAGCAAGGTTTGTGGAACCCATGACAACATAATTGAGTAAGGTTTGTGGAGCATGTTCCATGACAAAATCATGACAACATCATGGAACATTGCCAGCTAAGCGCGCAACCAAGTGTGGAGGGAGGGGCGCGTGATTGCAATTCCACCGAGAACGAGAAGAAGTAGAAGAACGCGGAGTACTAACACTGAAGTTCACTGGGCACCACCTTGTTACTGTGTTCACAGAGGGCATGGGGCATGGGCAGAAGCGGCGATTAGAACAGCTGATGGCCGAGACAAACGACGCCGTGACAGCACAGCCAAGGAGATGGAATGGGAACGCGACAGAGACAATATAATCCATCCCCCACCCGAGAGATGAAGCGATGATGATGAACATCGGGGGCTCGTTGGAGTGTTACATTGAGAGAGACGGCGCGAGGCGTTGACGGGTTTGGGTGACCGTTCATCCAGCAGTGGATAAGATCACAGCTGCCGACGACATCACTCACCTCTCTGCTTCTCTTCTTTGCCCTTCTCCTTCTTCTTCCCGAAGAGCGGCATGGTGCTGCAGAGACTCACGACCGACAACGCAGCCACCACCACAAGTGCGCGGACGGAGGGAAAAACACCAAAAAACCACCACGTTCAGCACTTCACCACCACCACACACAACGGGTGCCAACACTGGCACAAGTCGGCCACGACGAGCACGACCACCAGCTCAAAGACAACCAACAACAGGACTCGCAGACACAACCAACACACCAACACACAACTACCAAGAACAAACAACAACAACAACCAAGGCAGACTCTCACGATCCCAGCAACGAAGGCGACCAGCGTCGCGATTACATTTGATCCCACGCTTAAGCAATGGCCCCGCCCCTCCAGAAATCTCATTGGTCGAATTGCTGTGGGGGAAGGGGACGCGTATCCCGCCAACCAATCAGCGCACGGGGAATGACGTGGGCCGTGCCAATATGAACTGGGTAATGTAACTCTGGGCGGGGGGATGTTTTTCCGGTTGTGTGGGGTTTCTGAAGGAATCGATTCTCGTCAGTTTCAGTGAATCGATTCCAACTCACGATTCGGCTTCAAAACGTAACGTGTTCATCTTAAATTTCGATTTAAAGATTTGAAGCTTTCGTGACTGCAAGGATTCATATTCTTAGTTTTTTTCGGTAAAGTCACGTAGGTAAAAATTAAAATTAATTAAAGTAAAAAAATGTTTTACTTTTATTAACTTTAGAGAATTTTTTTTACTTTTATTAATTTCATTTTTTTACCTACGTGACTTTACCGAAAAAAAACCTAAGAATATTCGATTTAAAGCTTTCGTGACTGCAGGGATTCATATTCTTGGTTCTTTCGGTGGTTTTCCCACCTGATGATGATTGCTTGTGTTGCAATCGAAACGTCGTGAGAATTTTATTTTTTATTTTTATTATTTTATTATTTCCCTTCTACGTGACTTTACCGAATAAACCAACAATTACGTGTTCATCTTAATTGGACACGGCCAAAGCTACTGTGTTTGTGAATCGGGCATTATTGAGTCGTTTTATGCCCCAAGGTCTATTATTATGGGTCACCGCACGGTCGCACACCAGATAATTGTTCATGTTCCACGTGTGCATCAATTATCTGCTGCGGTTTAAGGGTTGTATCCATAAGGGGGCGTCCATAAATGACGTCACGCACCTGGGGGGGGGGTCAGACATTTGTGACGATGTGTGACGTGGAGGGGGGGGGTTGAGAAATGTGACGTCACATCAAAATGCGCAACTTTAAATAAATATAGACAACACGTTCTACTTAATTAAATAGACTTTTAATTAATAAATGTTTTCTCCTACAACATCAGAGTGCAGCGCCACATTAAGTACGCACTACAATGACAATAAGTTAAAGCGATTTGAAAATGTTTTATTTTTTGGTGGAGGGGGCAGAGCTTTGTGACGTCATATTTAAGGGGGGGGGGTTTGTGACGCCATGTGACGAGAGGGGGGGGCAGGTCAAAATCGTCCAAAATCGCGTGACGTCATTTATGGACGGCCCCAAAGCTTAGCAGAAGATTAAATCCAAAAGGGAGCGTCTGCGTCGGGTCTTACACGATAACGTTTGTGACTTCTACACGCCGGGCGATTTGATCGCGGGTCATTTTTAAATCCTTTATATTAAGTTCGCTTGCTTGCTTGCTTGCGTGCTTGCTTACGACCGTGCAAATCTTTAGGTCGTTTTTAACCCACTTCCCGTGATCCAATCGAGCTGACATTTTGCACACAGACTCGTTGTGCGAGACAATTAATGTTCGTGAAATTTTTTTTCCAAAAATTTACACTGTTTAGGGAAAACAAATTAAATATTTAATTACCAATTGCTTAATACTGGCAGACAATCATCTGACCCATAGGTGGCAGCCATCTCAAGCCAGAGGACGAGAGGACTCTAGCCGCCACGCATATAAAGGATTTAGAGTGAAAAACTTAGTTTTTACGGGTTATACTTATTGCGACATATCCCAGGCACAAATGTATTTCTGGTCGGAACAAACGAGACGGTACAGAGGGGTACAGCACGGGGAAAACCCACATCAAACGAGACGCTGCAGACTTTGCGTTGGCAAGTCATTTGATTGTCCACTCGAGGGCACTAGAACGCAGACAATCTCTCAAACCAAACACCTCGTGATTTATTATTTTATATCTATTATTTTTATCACTTATTTTTTACCTACGTGACTTTACCGATAAAAACCTAAGAGTATGAATCCTTGCAGTCACGAAAGCTTCAAATCTAGAACAAACACCTCTTGTATCCAATGGCATTCGAACAGCATAGTAACACCGGTTATGGGGCCGTCAATAAATGACGTCACGCACCTTGGGGGGGGGGGGGGTCAGATATTTGTGACGATGTGTGACGAAGGGGGGGGGGGGGAGAAATGTGACGTCACATCAAAATTCGCAACTTTAAATAAATATAGACAACACGTTCTACTTAATTAAACAGACTTATTAATACATGTTTTCTACCTACAACATCAGAGTGCAGCGCCACATTAAATACGCACTACAGTGGCAATAGTTTAAAGCGATTTGAAGCATGATAATTGTTTTTTTACCCTTTTATCTGGCAACAAAACTGACACCTTTTTTACAAGGAGTCATGTTTGCATTGAGCACAATACCTGCGGTCGGAATACAAACAAAAAACACAACTCTGATAATGTTTGCACTGTCCTTGAAATTGATTGGTTTCACACCCAAGACAGCTTTTCTTAGAGCCTAGTCTCACATGGTGATGGACCAGATGACGCCAAAGGGCGATTTGAAGCATGGTTTTTTTTTTGGGGGGGGGGGGGGGGCAGAGCTTTGTGACGTCATATTTTATGGGGGGTCTGACTTTTTGTGACGACGTGTGACTAGGGGGGGGGGGGGGGTCAAAAATCGTCCAAAATCGCGTGACGTAATTTATGGACGGCCCCTTACACACCTCTGTTCCCAACCATCATGCCTACGATAATCACCCAGGAATGTCTGTCCTTAACGCTCATGACGTTACTCCACATCGACCAGCCCCCCTTCATTAATATTCATGAGCAGGTGACGTCCTCCAAATGGACACCCCCCCACCCCTCCTCATTAATAATCATGAGCGGGTGACGTCACTCAATATGGTGTACTCCCCCCCCCCCCTTCACTAATAATCATGTGCAAGTGATTCACTCCACATCGAACAGCCCCCTCATTAATAATCATTAACAGGTTACGTCCTCCACATGGACCCCCCCCTCATTATTAATAATTAGCGGCTGACGTCACTCCACATGGGGGGCCGAGGCGCCTCCTCCCCCCTCCTCGGCGTCAACTCACAGCCCTCACTACAAAGGCAGAACCCTCACGTCACGCGGTCTCCGTAACGCTGTTGAGACATCAAAGTAAAAAGGACGTCATGATGAACAAGCGATTATAACCTTAAAATGAAATAGATCCGTGTCACCGCCCACTTACAAATTGCACACGCATTCATGCAACGAATATATCACGTCCCGGTCTGCTTTTCGCTTGCAAGTTTCAGATTTACTGCAATACACCCTTCCTTGGACGGGCTAAAGGCTGGTGTTATTATATAAGCAGGTCAGAGCCACAGGCAAACATGTCCCTTTCATGTCCCCTTCCAGGTCTGAATTTGGTTTTGTGAAAGGTTTTCAGTGGCTTAGAGACTATTTCGCGCACACGTGGGGTTTCTCCAAGTGCTCCGGTTTCCTCCCACACGTAAACACTCACTCGTTGGCTGAAAAAACATGTTTATAAAATATTACAATGCGGGACCCTTCTGAAAAAAAGAGTCCTGCGGCTCGGTGTCGCTTCCTGCATAAAATACGCGAGTACCGTAATTACATTTTTGACTTGAGTTATAATAATACTTATACAGTTGTTCACGCCGCAGCGCCACCTGTCTGTGAGACACGAGCTCTCACAGAATGAGAATCTTTTATTTTGGACTGGAGGAATCCGATGAGCTATGGGTCTTGTTTTTATTTTGCAGTATGGGCAGGTTCGCAAAGTTGGATGCCAACGTGACACAGGGGGTGGCCACCGGCCTGTTTGGTGGAGTCTCCCCCCCCCCCTCACCCCGAGTGAAGGAGGGCCTCGGTGAGTAATGCAGGAAAAGCCACGCATGGGTGGAGCAGCCCATCCGCCCGCCCATCAACACACCCACACCGTGAATAATTGCTACTTTCTCTACTTATTTCACGAAATCCCACACTTTTGTCGACGTAGTTTTGTCACAAGCGAGGGTGAATGTCGCCCGAGCTGCCAGGAATGAGCGGCATCGGCTGGAGCGAAGGGACCGAGATTTGAGAGCGCAGTTCGGTGGGGAGGTGACAATAGCACCCGGGGCTGGAGAAGAACCAACTTCTGGGAGAGTTGCCACAGCAGAAGCCGAGTCTGCCCACTCCGGGTGACCTGCACAGTGCCAGGTACCCCGCTTCTTCTTGGTGTTTAAATTCCCATTTTCTTTCAATACTTTGTCGTGTAACCAAACATATCGCCGTTTTAGTATCACTTCATTTTTATACACACAGTATATATATAGAGAGAAAGGCCGTCCTACACTACAGGGTGGTCTCGATGTCTTGTAACCCCTAATTAATTGACCCCTAACATTTATTTCCTTGGCATATTAATTTCTGCTTTAAATAAACTTTACTTTAAAAAGAGAACGGTTTAGAGAGCTAAAGAGCCATCTGGACCACCCTGTATGTATCGGCTCATTCACGGGTGGGTCTGCTCTGGGATATTTTGTCCAATTCTTTGTACTCATCTATCCACTGTAAATATATAAATACATTTGTTTACTGATAGTTTTAATATTAGTTACTCACGCAAGAGGATGATGATTATAACCCCCCAAAACGTGTGTAAAAAAACATAGAAGTAATGCTAACACACCCGTACTCAATGTTAATTTCAGAGCCCTTCACGCTTGTCATAAATTGAGTTACCTTGATTCCCTGCCAGAATCCGAGTTGAATCGCTGAACGTTACGAGTTTCCATGGTAAAACGATGTAAACAACATTACTCGATAATAGCTGTTCGATGTAAATGTAAAGCATTTTCCAACAGCCCCCCTCTGTTGGACATGTAAAGCTGTAAAGTCTGCAGAACTCTACAAAGAAATGCCCTTGCGATCGAATCGCCAACCGTAATCAACATTTTTGATGGCATCGGAGAGTCCCGCTTTGTGGTGATGTGTGCATTGTTGCGTGTAAGCTTCAACCTGAGGCGTTACAACAGCAGGGATGTTTCCTACGCTGTTGTGTGCGGATGTCGAGATGCTCACATTTACCCGTCATCGCGTTTCGTGTCACGTCTCTCCCCGAACGAAGTGAAATTTTTTTTAAAGCCTTCAGTGGGACATCAACACCACCTAAAATCATAATTCTCCGTGTTTATGCTATAGCATTGCGTCCCATTGCATAAATATTAAGCTGAAAGGAAATTCCCCCTGAGTTTGACACTTGATTAAACGAATGGCACAAGTCAAGAGTAAATGGTAATTTCAGGGGTTTTATGCAACTCCACTGGTGAGTGCCCAACTTTTCAAAGAAAACGTTGAGTGTATATCTTGGTTCAGTGACAAATCGAGCCATCATTCCTCAAATATTGAATAAATCAGTACGATTTTGGAAAGTAAACAGTTGACCTGTGGAGAGACAGGTGCCTATCGTAGGAATCTGGAGTTTCCACCAATGGCCCAACAAATGGAGGTGATCGCAATCCATTTTCCTTTTAAAAAGGTGGCTATTTTGGCTATTGACTCATTATAATAATTATTGTAATGCCAATAAATTACTTGATACATTTTGTAAAAAAAGTATGAAATCAGTACAGTACACCCTGCAACTATGAACAATTTTTTTAAATCAAATACTGTGTGGTGTCAACATTCGCATAAAAATACCATACTATTGCCATAATTTACAGTTTTCTTTTTCAATTGAAAAAACATTTAATCTACTTTTGAACACTTGGCAAATTGAGTGACATTGTCAAGCCAGCACATTTTGAGTTTGAACCTTTTCCAACACTTTGATGTAGCTCTATGTTGATCCCCACAGTATTTGTGCATGGGTCTGGCCCATGATAGTGTCGAGTTACGTAAGTACATTTATTAAATAGGCTACAGCTTTGCTTGCGAGCATCAGAGGAGCCGACACAGGTACAACATTTCCTCATTTAAACAAAGGCTGCGGGGCTTCATTCATCGAGAAGGCCGATTTACATTCGATGACCTGAATGCTCTTTAAATATCAGTGATTAAACAAACACCATTATTAAAATAGAAATCTTACTTCATAAAAAGGAGTGATATAAATGAATGGCTAATTGTCTTAATTCAACCTGTGCTTCACATACGATAATTAACTCAGCAATGATTACACAAAGGCACACGTGCAGCCATTTTGTCCATCCACTCTTGGATGAGGGTTTCCTCACACCGTGGTCTTGGGGGTTATTTGATCATATTTCTTCATGACAGTATGGTTTGGTGAGGGAGGTTAGCATATACTTGGACCATAGAAATATAGTACAACAGTGGCTTCTTCCGCTTGCAATGTAGCCCTCGCAGTAAGGTGTGAGTGATTCATTCAGATTGTGCTGCGTCTTCCTCTCGGACACGACGGATGCAGGTCAGCCACCGTCGACGAGCCACCTGTTGGTGGCCACGATTGTGGTCCCATTGAGTGGAGTCCTGCACTTATGGCCAGCGGTGGAGTTCCCAACGAGAACCTCCCCACCTACAAGGTGGTGGTAGTGGGCGATGGTGGCGTGGGCAAGAGCGCGCTCACCATCCAATTCTTCCAAAAGATCTTTGTGCCAGACTACGACCCCACCATCGAGGATTCGTACATTAAGCACGCAGAGATTGACGGACAGTGGGCCATCCTGGACGGTACGCCATAGCGCCGCGTCTTCTGAAGTGTTGTGGTTTTTGTCAAGTATTTTGCCGTTGCTAGGTGTGCCACATCACATTTATACGTCTAATCAAGCAATTAACTTCAAGTACCTCGCTTGTGTTAAGCATGTATTTTGACATGCACGAATGCACTAATTACATCGTCATGGCACCATGAAATTTTACTCAAACAAAAATATAAAAACTTAAAATGCGAGACGTGGAAGTTAGAATCGCTTCCACAAAGAAGAGAACCCTCGAGGTTAGGAAACATGGAAAACAAATCTCCTTCACCCTCCCCTCTGCATGACATGGAATGTTCCAATTTCAGCACCCTTGACCAGCACAGATGTAAGTGAGGTGTAAGTAACCTGGAATGTTCCTTGCTCAGGGAAGCTTGTGGAATGGTAGGTGTTGTCTTTGCTGTGGTGGACAGCGTCATAGGGCTGGTGTGGTTTGAAGGATGTTTTTTTCATGATGGTGGAAGTGCTCCCTTCCTCACAACTGGAGGGTATAAAGGGTCACTTCCTGTCCTATCTCAGACTTTGCCGGTGGATGCTCTCTGGGACAATAGCAGGAAACCTGTGATAATTCACGATTAGGTTTGTGCAAGTCTGTAAGAATACATGCAATGCAGAAGCTGCTTATAGATGACACCCGTAGAGTCAGGTGTTAAAAACAATCCCTTGTAAAAAAAAAGAGTCCAAAAGGCGAATATATTTGTGAATGAATTAACTGTCGCAGTCTGCTGCACATATCAGAATTTGAGTGTGGCTGTTGTCTTTACGAGGCATGTAATTGTGCATTTAATAAAATTGATTCTTACACTCCTGATACATACATACATACAATGGTGATTGTGTGAATCAAATGTTTACAATTGACACACATATGAAGTTGACATGCTGGTGGTACATTTATGCTAATGGGGCGAACACAGCTGTACAAAGGGGACAGGTATGAAAAAGGAAACAAACGAGACAGTAAACGTAATCAATTCCATCAACAGGAGAGTCATCAATTACGAGCCCCACAATAAACATCATAAGGCAGGAGTTCCATTCCAAGAGGTGTGGATGATGTGGTTCAGTGACCACTTAGAGGAGGGGGGAAAGGGGGATGTCTCTCTCAGGCCTCAGATCTAAAGGGGCACAATAAAGGGCCCAGGTGACCTCAAAGGGCCTCAACTGCCATTTTGCCACGGGCCTTTAAAACGTTTCAATAGCCCCGAGACGGAGCATGTGTGTGTGCATCTGTTGCGAAGTGGCTCCATTCACAAAAAAACGCAGCACATTCGTCAATACAGTATATAACATTGTGGCCTTAAAAGTAAAACACATAACGTGACATTTTGGCCAATGGGCCTTCTTCATAGCCCATATATTGTTTAGCGGAGTCCCTAAGTGCCATGTCACTAGTTCTTAGCATGGCGCATGGCTCATCTGTCATTGCTTGCGACCTCTCCCTGGCAGTGCTGGACACAGCCGGGCAGGAGGAGTTCAGCGCCATGAGGGAGCAGTACATGCGCACGGGCGACGGTTTCCTCATCGTATACTCGGTGACGGACAAGGCGAGCTTCGAGCACGTGGAACGATTCCACCAGCTCATCCTGCGCGTCAAAGACAGGTGGGCATGCCCACGTCGTTAGGCATGCTTGGCTATTGCTGGTATAGGAAATGTGGAGGTTAAAATATGTATTATTTAATTTCACACTCAGCAGCCCATAGCAATGGACTGGAAATAGGCTAATTTTGATAGCTTGAGTTAAATTTTGATTTAAAGCTTTCGTGACTGCAGGGATTCATATTTTTGGTTCTTTCGGTAAAGTCACGTAGAAGGGAAATATATGTTTTATATCTATATTATTTTATTATTTCCCTTCTACGTGACTTTACCGAAAGAACCAAGAATATAGCTTGAGTTCAGTTATATTTTGTAAGTGTTGAGCAACGCATTTCCAAAACCTCTTTTGAACACAACACAAATTGCATACGACCACCCCTTTGCAGTTTTTATCAATGACGACCAAACGCTTGATTCCTTATCATTATTTCACATTTGCTTTCTCCAATCTTATTACATTTTAACATCTGCACAGTATATGTTATTGTGCTTGACAACATGCTGTCCTTTGTGTGAGTCCTCATTCGATGATCATAACACCTGTTTCTTTTCTCGTTGGATTGAATGAACCTGGCTCAGAGAGTCATTTCCCATGGTCCTTGTGGCTAACAAGGTGGATCTGCTGCATCTGAGAAAAATCTCCACGGAGCAAGGCCAGGAGATGGCAACCAAGTTCGATGTAAGAACTCGTCGTCACGAGTTGTTGCCAAAAGGATTTGGGAGGCCTGGGTCAATGCAAGATGAGGCCTGCTCAGCCCTTTCTGAGGCTCCCTTGTATCTGAGGCTCAGAGTAAACTGCTCCACTTGCCCCCACCCCCCCTATCTGCAGCCATACTTTTGATGTCTACGAAAAACAGTTGTCATTTTAGGATTTGTTGATGTATCGTTCTCTATTGGCAGATTCCATACATTGAGACAAGTGCCAAGGAACCTCCCTTAAATGTGGACAAGGCATTTCACCAGCTGGTCAGAGTCATACGGTAAGGCTTCTGAATTCACCAGTGAGAGTCATCACTATTTTCAACATCCATTGTCAATATTGTGATGGTGTTTTCCGATTAAACTATTATTTGACGACTGATAATTGTTTTTTTACCCTTCTATCTGGCAAACAAAACTGACACAGTTGATTGGTCCACACCCGAGACAGCTTTCCTTAGAGCCTAGTCTCACATGGGTTGGACCAAATGACGCCAAAAGGTGCACAACTCAAAGACAATGCACCATCAGAGTATGAGAGCTCGGGGTAAGCATTTACACCATTGGAACTTCCTTTGCCAATAGCGCCTTTTGGCGTCATCTGGTCCAACCCATGTGAGACTAGGCTCTAAGGAAAGCTGTCTCGGGTGTGGACCAATCAACTTCAAGGACAGTGCATATATTATCAGAGTTATGTTTTTTGTTTGCATTATGGCTGCAGGTATTGTGGTCTATGCAAACATGACTCCTTGTAAAAAAAGGTGTCAGTTTTGTTGCCAGATAGAAGGGTAAAAAAACTATTATCATATTTTTTACTGGCAAATGAGGTTCCAATGGTTGTATTTGACGACTCTCTATGACCTGGTAATGATGGCAGAACAATTGCACATTCCCATACGTTGACCTCATCATTCCAATTATGAATGTAGAGTTGCAGCCCATGAAAGGTCTATCATCATCTAAATATTATTTTGTGCAAATTACATGCTCTCAGAGCACATACCATACATCAGTTAAATACAGTAACACAATTTAGAAGACAATTATTACATTTATTTAAATTTCCTGGAAAAAATATATTAAACTATTGAATTCCTTGTTCATGTACTTTTCATACAAACTAAGCTGAGCACCTGCTTTAGATGAGTCGCAAGGAAAAAAAATCCTATTTTATAAGTGGCTAGACAGGTTAGGAGCGACATCCCTTTCTGCACTGAACTCTGAAAACCGTCCACTGTACTGTGCTGTAAATGTCCAACTCAAACCACAGCCCATTGTTTGCTCTCTATATAACAGGCCATGTCCACCACCAAACCTATACTGGGTCACTCACCTCAACTTTGTAAACATTCATCTCTTTACACTTACACAGTGTTGGGTGGCAGGCTGTTCAAACGAGAATGCCACGGCTGACTACTGGCCTGCCCTGCCGCCCTCCCACATGCCCCACAGGCAGCAGGTGCCTGAACACGACTGCAAGAAGAAAAAGAAAGAGAAGTGGAGAAGGGAGCGAGTGAGAGGGTCCAAGGTCAAGTGTGCCACGTCCTAGTGTGGCACCCATGGTGCTGTCCACGCTAGGGCTGGTGTCACACACAGCCACCCACACGGTGCTGTCCACGCTAGGGCTGTGTCACACACAGCCACCCACACGGTGCTGTCCACGCTAGGGCTGTGTCACACACAGCCACCCACACGGCGCTGTCCACGCTAGGGCTGTGTCACACACAGCCATCCACACGGTGCTGTCCACGCTAGGGCTGTGTCACACACAGCCACCCACACGGCGCTGTCCACGCTAGGGCTGGTGTCACACATAGCCACCCACACGGCGCTGTCCACGCTAGGGCTGTGTCACACACAGCCACCCACACGGCGCTGTCCACGCTAGGGCTGTGCCACACACAGCCACCCACACGGTGCTGTCCACGCTAGGGCTGGTGTCACACACAGCCACCCACACGGTGCTGTCCACGCTAGGGCTGTGTCACACACAGCCACCCACACGGTGCTGTCCACGCTAGGGCTGTGTCACACACAGCCACCCACACGGCGCTGTCCACGCTAGGGCTGTGTCACACACAGCCATCCACACGGTGCTGTCCACGCTAGGGCTGTGCCACACACAGCCACCCACACGGTGCTGTCCACGCTAGGGCTGGTGTCACACACAGCCACCCACACGGTGCTGTCCACGCTAGGGCTGTGTCACACACAGCCACCCACACGGTGCTGTCCACGCTAGGGCTGTGTCACACACAGCCACCCACACGGCGCTGTCCACGCTAGGGCTGTGTCACACACAGCCATCCACACGGTGCTGTCCACGCTAGGGCTGTGTCACACACAGCCACCCACACGGCGCTGTCCACGCTAGGGCTGGTGTCACACATAGCCACCCACACGGCGCTGTCCACGCTAGGGCTGTGTCACACACAGCCACCCACACGGCGCTGTCCACGCTAGGGCTGTGCCACACACAGCCACCCACACGGTGCTGTCCACGCTAGGGCTGGTGTCACACACAGCCACCCACACGGTGCTGTCCACGCTAGGGCTGTGTCACACACAGCCACCCACACGGTGCTGTCCACGCTAGGGCTGGTGTCACACACAGCCACCCACACGGTGCTGTCCACGCTAGGGCTGGTGTCACACACAGCCACCCACACGGTGCTGTCCACGCTAGGGCTGTGTCACACACAGCCACCCACACGGTGCTGTCCACGCTAGGGCTGTGTCACACACAGCCACCCACACGGCGCTGTCCACGATGTAGGATCATCGAACGGCACAACCCTACCGGGCCGGCACCATACAGTGACATCCCCTATGCCACTACAAATGCACAAATGTTCGTTATTTTTGTGATAATTAAGATGATGGAACCTGTTTCTATTGTGTTCCTACCTTGGAGCCATTGAACACCCTCGCTAAGATTCGACAATTCAGTGTTAATATTTTAAATCGCGCCTGAAGGTACAACTTATACAAAACAGCGTATATAATTTAACTTGGCAGCACTGAGCGGTGTTTTGTTTAAATGATTTTAATCTCCGAACGTAGCTTCAGCACAACTCTACAGCCTTGCGTATTAAGTTATATAATTTATTTAGTTCGTTCCGATTGGTTGTTATCACGCAGATTATGATCGTCTATGTTGTGTTCTACAGTAACTGTAGATGAGGGTTGGATTGGTAAACATTTTTATAGTTCTTCATCCCGAAGGACACTATATATATCTAAATATATTGGATACAGTATTGATATATTTAAATGTTAGAATGGGTCTTAATTCAGCCAGTGCACTCCGAACACCCTCGCAGAAAATATTTCATGAAAAATTAAGCCCTGATTAATTACTGCGTGCAACAGTAAATATACGACAAAGCTAATGATAGGAATTCTACTTAATGAGCGGACGTTTTGTGAATAATAATTCGCAGCAATTAAATCTTGACTCGGAAAGCCTCCTTACAGTAAACATACAATACTTTTAATTATTAAGGGAGAGGAGTGTTGACGCAGTGGTCAGCACACTGCGTTATGAATCTTAACAACCAGAGTTCGATTCCTTTTTTTTAAATCCTCTATATTAAGTTCACTTGCTTGCTTGCTTAGGATCGTGCAAATCTTTCAGCCGTTTTTTAACCCACTTCCCGTGATCCAATCGAGCTGACATTTTGCACACAGACTCGTTGTGCGTGACAATTAATTTTCGTGAATTTTTTTTTCCAAATTTTACACTGTTTAGGGAAATTTTTAAATATTTAATTACCAATTGCTTAATGGTGGCAGACAATCATCTGACCCATAGGTGGCAGCCATCTCAAGCCAGAGGACGAGAGGACTCTAGCCGCCCCAATGCCACGCATATAAAGGATTTATAGTGAAAAACTTTGTTTTTACGGCTTAATTTTTTTTCCTCTGACCCCGTGGTTTAAAGTGCAGTCTCCAACTCGTGTTGTTCACTGCCTGCCCGGCCTCTATGAAGAAGGGATATTTCCCGAAACGTCACCTCTGATTTATATATTATTGCAAGGCCAGAGTGTTATTGGCGGATGTGAGTTTTGAGTGCAATTCCGGGGAAGTGAGCCTGAGTTCAATCTCTGGCCATGACGAACATCGGTAGTGAATGGTGACTGTAACCGTTCCTGGGTCTCCCCCTACACTCCTACAGCAACCCACATTGATCAGCACGGTGAAGTATGGTGAAGCATCCACCACCATCCACACAGCAGTGGGTGGACAAAGGAATACGAATAAAAGAATGAATCTAAGTTGCAAACAATTGTGTTTACAATTATTTTAACAAAACCTAATGCTTTCTCACACAGCCAAAAGTCGCAAACTAAATTCATAATTATAAAATATGCATAGTATAGTGACATGCTACACTTTTCAGGTACCAATGATGTACAAAATGACTGTTCCGTTAAAAAAAAACATACAGCAGTAATCATTTTTACACACGCAGTAAATGTACATAGTGTTCTGTGGGTGTAGTTTGGCATTGTACGCGGGAGGCCAGTCACTGTGAGTCCTGATGACTAACCGACGGAGAGAATATTGGAGAATTGACTTCACACAGTAGAGTCACAGTGCCCGTGGGGTGACGTGGCTCTATCACGTGTCTCGGCTCACCTATTTGTCTTTGTTACTGGATCTACTTAGACTAATTTAAGATAACCACATTTCTCATTCACTGCGTTATAAATATATGTATATATTCTTAATAAAAAATACCACGACGTTTCGATCGTGATATTTATTATTATTTTATATTTACGTGGCTTTACTGAAAGATCCAAAGAATATGAATTATTGCAGTCACGAAAGCTTTAAGTCAATAGATATATGCCTATAAATATACCCCGGGTTTGCACAAGACAAGCTGTTATTTTATTTCCATATTGATATTCCAATAATTTCGAAATATAATTAACAGGAGAGTACTTATTATTCGAGAGAGAAAAACGAATTTGAAATCCACTGCATTGTACTTTCACGATACCGTAATCAGCCACGATGCCTGCTGGGTGAAGGCATCACAATCAGAATATGTATTTCTACTGGAGGAATCCAATGAGCTTTCAAGCTCTTTTTTTTACAAATGGGTATGTGATTCAACAATTCATATAGCTTCTGCACACGAGCTAATTTCAGCGCTCCATCTCCTATTAATGTCCCTCCTTTGGCTGTTCTCCCATAGCCAGTCTCTATCACCTCTGCCATCCATTCTAGTGACATATCCTACCAAAGGCCACTATTTCTGAACATGCAATATTACGTCTCTCGCTTAATCCCTGCCCTTGTGTTCTGCTGTCCCTCGAAGTAATTCCGAGTAGGCATGCATGTGTCTTTGCCATGTACCTTATGTTTGCTTGTACCCTTATCAACGTTCCATTTTTTTCGTCAATGTCCATGTTTCTGATTCATATATGTCATAACAGGTAATATGTACTTATTGAAAACGTTCTCCTTTCGTCACATTGCTATGTACAGCAATTGCTTTTCATGATCAATCTCAGTTTTCCCAAATCAGCGTGTATAAAGAGCATCAAGTTACCCAGAACTCATGCGTGGTGTGCACATCCAAGCGTCGGGGACAGGCGGAACGCGCACAAACTCTGTCCGGTGCGAGTTCACTCCAGCGCAGGACTCGCCAATCGCTGGTGCTCTTTGCACACGTGTTGTATCTGCACTCACGTGCGTGGGAGGGGAGCTGGGTCGATGGGGATATCTGGAGATAGGGGAGAGGATTGGATGGTTTGCGGTTAGGGGTGGGGGTATATTTGGTCGTTAGAATTGGGAGGTGTTCTGGGGGGGGAAGAGATGCCGTGGGGAGTAAAAGAGACGGGTGCGGGGGGGGGGTGTAAGGAGAAGGGCTGTGTGAGAAGCAGGGCCGTAATTATAATATATCGGGGGGGGGGGGCACATCCCCCACCCCCCAATATATTGCATCCCCCCCAATATTCAAATATGCTCAAAATGTCCCCCCCCCCCCAATATATTGCTATAAAATAGATTTCTGTTTATATGATTGTGGTTATGGTTGGACTTTATTAATCCCTAATCTCTGCAATTACATACAATGCAACAAGAAAAGGTAAAGAAGAAAAAACAGAGCAATGGAATACAATACACTATTAGACATTATTGTAAAAAAAAAAAGTCCATCCTATGTGTTAGTGAATTTTGTAATATTTGAGGCAGGAAATTAGTTTTCAAATATAAATTTTTTTCTGGGGTGGGGGGGACCCCCAAACCCTCTGGAAGATGTGGTCCCCCCCAATGTCGACTCCATGGCTACGGCCTTGGTGAGAAGAGATGATTGGTGGGAGAAATGGAAGGTTGGTGGGGGAAAATTAAGGAGCTGTGGAGAGATTGGTGGTGGGGGGCAGATGGGAGGGGTGTGATGGGGGTGGACATGGGATGGGAAGGCATGAAACGTGTATTGGACGGATGGGAAAGGAGTGGGGGGGGGCATGGGCGGGGTAGTGTGGGGATGAGATGATGTGTGGGGGGCCATTGAGAGTGGTGGGGGGCATAGGGGAGGGAGAAGC